CCCTTCCAACTGAAGTAGTCTATTCTATTCTATTCTATTCTATTCTATTCTATTCTATTCTATTCTATTCTATTCTATAGGTGGCTGTAGCACACTGGCTTACTGGCTGATGTCTTATCCTTAAATTTGGGAGGTTTGTTTTCTCTTGTAGCTGTTTTCTCTTCACCTGTTGAAAGTGGTAATATGGATGTTTTGCAGCAGTGTTCCATGCCATTGGTGTTCCATAGACTCCTTCACCTGCATGAACATCTTTATCCTCCCAGCCCCTTAGTGAGGTGTCAGGGCTATTACCCTTGTTTTAAAAGCCTCAGAGAGGTTAAGTGACTTCCTCCACCTCATCCATGGGGTCCTCAGTCTGCTAAGCACAACTTCGTCCTTACTCTCTCATGGATCTCCAAGACAGCCATCAGGTTACTTTCGGTTTCTCTGTTACGAGATAATGTCTTTTCATTGGAGTTTTTAAACAACTCCAAGGAAAATAACTCATTAACAGATGGGAAAATAATTGAATTCAGAAAGTAAAAACTGAACTAAACTTAGGAAAGCTCTGGACATCTTCTCACAGGGGAGTCTGCTGCTCTCCTATTTATACTGTTTCTCTAAAGCTGACAATTCATTTTACATTAGCAAATGCTTTAGGGAAATCCGATGTGCTTGCAGCCTCTGCAATAATAAAGCTAGATGTTAGTAAATAGTTAATGTTGTGGGACACTGGGATGTCAGCCAAATTCTCTCACTTTCTTTAATGTTTTCTAAGAGCTTGTCTGAAAGGTATTTGCAAGCAACACAATACTTCACAGATTGAACTTCTTATGGCTGGCACTCCTCTTTGTCCTCATTCTATGCACTGCCCACTTGTCCTTAAATTTGCTCCCCTGACCCAACATGTTACAGTCACTGGCCCCAGAGCTTTATTTTTCTTGTGCGATGCTATGCAGAAGCCTATCGTCTTAAGACACTAATAGAATTCCTCTTAAAAATGACTCTGCTAAAGTCCATACTCACTAGTTCATTAGTTCAAGAAACATTCAGTTCAGATATTGAATTATCCAAATTACTGAAGCCAATATACCTGGTCCAAAAATGGAGACCTTCATCTCATTCAATGGAGACCTCTCACTGAGTTCTCATCACCTGAATCCAAATCAAAATTGCCTTCCTGATTTGAATCTCTCTCCTTGGACTGGCTTCATCATCTTATTCTCCTGTGACAACATCAACCAACTATTGCCTGCACTCCCAGCTAATCTTGGCTTTCTCTCATACTCTGCAGCTGGGGGCTACTATCCCCTTCACAGGGCCTGGATCCTTTCTTCTTTTCCTCTAAGCCAATGTATCTTAACTTAAAGCTACGTCTACTACCTCCAGGCTTGAAAACACATCCACCCACCCCCACACATACACATCCCCACCAGTGCCATTTTACTGCACTAAAGTGCTATGTATTTCTGCAGGTAGAACACATACAGCTCTTTAAATCTTGGCCTGATAAATTTAGGTTCAAGCACATTAAGCAACATATATAATATGCTAATCTCCATAATATGCCTTGCCCATAAAAAGATACATGGCGATTTGCAGAGCTGAGAGCACTGAAAAACCTTGAAGCTCCTTATTAAGTAAGATATTACGAATGTCTGGCAAATTAAGCGACAAAACAAATTGTTGCTTCACTCCATTTTCTGAATAAAGTTTGTGCTTCCCCAACACCAGTAGTGGACATTTATGAGTAGCCTGAGGGGCTTGTATCTAACAAGACAGGCGTGCAAGAAGAAACAATACAGGGATCAGGCTTTAACTCCCCATAACAACAAAACTCAGTGATGCGGCATGGCATGAAGGTCTACCTGTGCTTGTCCGCCTGAGTGCAGCGGGGGGTGCGGCGAGGTCTGGTGATGTGCCGGGTGCGCGTGAAGGTGCGAGTGGGAGTGGTGGTGGGGATGATTCTGCTGGTGATGAGTCTGAGGATGAGGATGGTGCGCCGGATGCTGGTGCTGATGCGGGTATGAGTGATGAGGTGGCAGCGTCTGGTGCTGATGAGGATGTGAGTGCATATGATGGTGTGGCGTCTGGTCCTGCCGCGAGCTCATCATTTCCATCATGTGGCCCATGGTGTTCATATTCCCATTTGACATGGCGGCAGGATGATGAGTCAGCGCTGCCTTCAGTCTCTGGAACAGAACAAGGCAGAAAATTCAACATTCATACATGATGATCTGAGCAATCAGAATAAGATTTCTGCTGTTGTAGAAACAGTGTCTTGTCCTGTGTTTTGAGATTTTAGGTTTTTTCTTGCTGTTCCCTTGATAAAAGGCATCTTATTTCAGTTTGAGAAAGAACATATTCTTGGGCTCTAATCTAGTTTTCCAGTGTAAATATGTAAAGATACAAACATCTGAACTGAAATTTAACAGTTACACATTTCCTGCTGTGCTGCTGAGGAAAAATAACTGGCTCTCATCCTTGTCTCTTTGGCCAGCTCAGCAGCATTAGCTTCATCAAGCTTGTATTCTTGTAACTTCTAAAAAGGAAAGTCTGATTAAAATAAAGGTGAAACAAAGTTCCCCTCTTGTTTTTACTACAGCTATTACTTAAAAGATTCATTGATAAATATATTGCATTGACATGTTTTTCAAATTCAGGCTCAAATATATTCTACAGTTGTACTAGCACCCAACCTGGTCTTTCATCAGAAAGACAGGAAAATAATGAGGGTAGCCTCAACCTGATCCTCTTTGCTGGAAAGTTCAAACATCTGCTGTGTTGTTATCACATGGTAATCCCTCTCTCTGTTTTGTACTCCTGATGTTCTGTACTGTCACTGGAGTGGGCCCTGGGGTCCTGACCAGGGCAAAACTCTCCTTAATATCAATGGGATTCATTTGCTTTTACCTGAACACCACCAAAGGGCAATGTGAAGGGCTGCCGCATTTTGCACTGCAGGATAGGGCCCTTGTGTACTAAAGCTATAGCTGAAGTATGGAGAAAAAAAGATTCCCTTTCAGTGCAATTACAGGGTCATCCCAAAGCTGTGAGCTGTACTAGCATACAGACACCTCGCTGGTGTCGTCCTGCCCTTGGACTACTGAAATCACTGGCATCCTACAAGAATGTGCCAATGGTAGAGCCTGACAGATGTCAGTGAGGAGAAGGGCTCTTTCCAAACCCACGGAAACCTCCTTTGCGTCCATGGTTCTGCATCTTGCTCAACGTAGAACATTCTTTACAGGCAGCTACCCAAGACCTCTTTTCCTCTTTACATTTTTGAAGAAGTCAGCATAAGCTTGGTTTTCTCTCACTAATGCACGTAAGTAGTCAGAAAATGGTAAGATAAAAATGGAAGGAAGGAGTTCCACAGTATCACTTGATGCCAGACTAGCATGATCCGAATAACCCATCAACTAGCTCGTAATTCATTATCCAGCCAGAGGATATAATGAATAGCAGATAGCTCATCAACAAGAGATGCCACCTATAGGACAGCCAACAAGAAACAGCAGTGTACGAGGAACAGAGGTGTGCCTTTCCCCATAGCAATATCTGTGGGTCACAGATGATGGTCAGAAGATCCTACAAGCTAACATGGCTAAAATCTGCCAGTGGAGGATTGAACTGCATTTTGGTTTTGTCTTTAAAGCAAAGAGAGTGACTGCCAGGATACTCAGAGCCTACAGACAGGAATTTCAATCTACTTTATATTGAAATAACATCTGTCTGTGCAACTCCACTGCAAGGCCACAAGTAAGGCCTCCTATGTTCAAAGCTGCTACCCTATTTTGTTTGTGCACCTGGGAGTGAGGAAGAAATAAATCCCTAAGGAGAAAAAAAAGAAAAATATAAGGGAAAAAAAAGAAGGTTGTGGAAGGTAAAAAAAAGTAACAGGGTCAATTCAAAGTATCATCCTCAGACTTCATGAGGGTCATTCCACTGAGACACTCTAATAGATCCATTAATCCAAATTTGGTGGCTTATTTCACTAACGATCAATTGGCTCAACAAGACTTTAAAAAAAAAGAAAAGATACATTTGAAAAACACACCAGTGCCTCAGTTTGCGTGAAGGAAAACTGGGCTGATAACTTTTCAGAAGTTTCCTTAAGAAAGCCTATCAAACCATGACCGCACTACGGCATGTGTCACAACCTGCCGATCTTCTCAAAAAGAGATCGAGGCAACTATGGCAGCAAGGTTAAATACCTCTAAAATCAGAACGGAGCTCAATCTAACATCAACAGCAGTAACCCATCCTGGGTATAAAATGGAGGATTTGAGCAGCTGCCGTCCTTAATGTTTCCGAATTCAAGTGCTACCCTGGCTACTGCAAGCAGCTCTTCACAATGCTCAGAATAACTGGTGTTACCCAGGAGTGTATTAGGAAAAATATGGAAAACAACACATGAATAAGTCAAGTCATTCTGCACGTCATTCTTCTTCAAAATTCGCTAAGACCTTTTTCATGGGGCTGAGCCACCATGCAGATCTAAGCCAAAGCACCAACAAAAGCTGTCGTAACTCTGTTTTCTGAAACAAAATGCAAAAAACCCAAGCTCTCATTAGCGAGCAGTTTTATGTGATGAATACCTAACAAAATCTACCAATGCTATATTTGTCAAAGACCTCTGAAACTGAACTACAGCATGTCTTATTCTAAACTGCAGACTTTCAAAGCCAAAAAAAAAAAAAGAGGGAAAAACTTAATCTGCGAATAAACATTTTTTTTCAGCTGTAAAAACTGTGGCTTTTTAGTGTGGCGCGACTTCAAGGAGAATAAATTATTTTATTTTCTTTCCATAGCCCCTTCTACCACATCCATTTATTTGAGATAGCAAATCAAGAGAGACAGTGAGAGGTCTGACATGCAGCTGGTTTCAGTCAATAGGGGTCATTTCCATTTGGTCTGTGTATTTTACAAGCTCCTTGTTCACTGTTCCCAATGGGAGGGTGGGCCAGCTGCCCTGGATCCCAGTCCTGGTAAGAAACCAGCTCTCTACCTCATCCCATCCCAGAGCAGCAACAGCCATCGCCCGGCCCTTGCCTCCCTTTAACTTCGTGCTTAGATCAGCTCCACAGCAGCGAGAGCCCTGCCTGCACACGCACCCCGAGCAACGTTTATCTTCCATTAACCAGTCGCTGCTGCCCATCAGAAACATTTGGGGAACGATAAACATTATTTTTTAGTTTGGTCTTCGGTGAGATCAATTGTTTCGGATGTTTTAGTTAGAGCACAGGGAGGGAAAATCACCAGAACTTGGTGAACTCTTTGCATTGAGTATGTGTAGAGCTGGAAGGGCAGGCTGTATTTGTGTTATTGTTCTTTTTATGTGTGCTAATTGCAAACAGCTGTTTTAGTTTAGTGTCAAATAAAATGCGATGGCATCAAAACTGAGCTTACTGGACTGACTACGTTAGCAAATCCCCTCCAGAACGAAATGATAACCCCGGACCCAATCCTGCGGCTGTTCAGTTTTTCAGGAACTGTGCGACTGACTTCACCAGAGCCTGCAGGCACCTGGCAGTTCACAAACTGGGGCTGAAACAGAGGACTCGCTACTCAGATCTGCTCTCACCAAAACCCAAATTTTCTGCTGACCTCAGTGGCAGTGTTTATTAGAGCACAATCCCTCTTCTCTTCCTTTTACAGCGCAATTTTCAAAGAAATCCCCTCCAACTTCAAGCCAAGAGGAAATGCAAGTGCTCATCCTACCTAGCTTACTGATTATTTTTATTATTTCATCGAACTAACATAGTGACCAACATCAGTTACAGCTGATTTCCACTCGATCATGACGTTTCCATTAATGGCTGGTAGTGACACAGACAACATGAGAAGTCTTTTTGCTTTGCCTCTGATCAAGTGAATAAAGAAAATTCCCGTTTGATCCTACTGGAAGTCAGAAGCACATAAACTCATCTTTGGTACTTAGGAGGCAATAGGAACAGTGGATATCACAGGCATGACTATTGTGTTCCCTGTACTATTGCTCATGGTCGTGCCCCTAACTGACACATTCACTCTGAAGCCACCCCATTGAATGTCATATGAAGTTAACACCTCAAAGAGGTTATCATTGTACCTGGAATACTGGTTTTTTTGGAAACAGTTTTCACAGTGCTTCCTCCATCTAAAGCCTGACATCATGGTGAAGTTTCCTTTTATCAAAATAGATCATAAGTTATTTGCTGAACATCTTTGGGCAAACCCTAAGTCTGCCAAAAATGGGCTACAAACAGTTGAGATCATGAATGAAAAATAATAACAGCTTCCTTAACACTTCTGCAGTTCAGGATCTTGCTGCTTTCTAATTATTCTCTATCATAACATGTATTTCAAGGTTGCCTTGGTTTTTGTCCCACCTTTCTTTCTCCAAAATTGCTAGTGAAAAACAGACAGCGTTTTTTTCAGTTTGTTAGAAGAAAGAAAAAAGAGAAATAAAACTGTAAATCTGGAGGTTGCTTTTCCCACAACTACAAACTCAAATAATTTTGGTGTTTTCATATGCATATAAAATATTTATAATATTTATAGCATGTTTTATTTATAGTTGGGCATTGGTCAGCAGGTGGTGAGCAATTGTATAGTGTATCACTTGCTTTGTGTATTATTATTATTATTATATTGTATTATATTATATTGTATTATATTATATTATATTATATTATATTATATTATATTATATTATATTATATTATATTATATTATATTATATTATATTATATGTAGATGACAATAAACTGCAACTTTCTCCCATTTATTCTTCAGTGGAGAAATGACAAAAATCTCCTCCAATTTCGCAGATGTTATTACATGAGTGGTCTGTGCTTGCATCAAACAATAAGCTATTATATCATTCAGCTGAATTTTAGGTTGGGACAGACATGGAGTGCTGGTTTGGAATAGAATTGAATTGTTCTGAATAAGTATGCATTGCTGCACTCAGAAAAAAACTCTCTTCCCCTTCTGGTCTGCATGCCCAAATCCCACTAACTTAGAGAAGAGACAAGACCAGCTGTAGTATCAGCTTAATGTCTGGTATATTCTTATCAGGAGATTATATCAGACCCCTGTAGGCAGATGGAATATGATCTCAAAGATATTTTCTTGCACTAGTGACTGTGATTCTAGTCCCTATTATAGAGAGGTGTAATAAGTTCCCCACAGGGGACAGAAGAGA